CTCTCTGACTTTCTTCCAGTTCTCAGATGCATTCCATGGTCACTGGGACTTTCAAAGGGAGTTGAGAAAGGCTTTGTACTGAGCCCAGTGAACACAGAACATCAATCCACACACACTCATGTCAGACCAGTGTGTCTGAATGTTCCTCCACCAGATTCTGTTCTGCTTGGGGAAATCTCTTCTGTTGCAGTTGTTGGAGGATTACCAGGAACGTGAGTTCCCGACAGCAATTCCTGATGGTAAAGACCAAGGACATGAACCTTTGAGCATGTTCACCTTTCCTGTACCCCCTGCCCTCAGGGAAGCTGCCCTTTTGAATAGTGGGGCTGCCTGTGTCCAAGGCTCCCTTTATGGATGGCCTGTCTGGAGAAGACCTTCTTATTGCCCCTCCATGTGCTTTGCCTGATTCAGCTCCAGGTGGGCTTTGGCTTTCCTAATGCCTGGCAAAAGGCATTTAGAGGAAGAGAGCTGAAACACTGGCACAGCCTGGCTGCCTGGACATGCTGCAGCTCCTGACCTTTGCAGAGAGCAGAGAGAGAGGGAAAAGAGAGAAGCAAGTGACATGTCCATAAAAAGCGGATTATTTGGGTGTGCTCTGACACGTGCAGTGCGAGGCAGGGACTCTTCCTGCAGGGGATGCTGCAAAGAGTTGATTTTGACTGCCCTAAACCAACATTCCCTGCCTTCATCCAGCAACTGGGTCATGTGCCCTCCCTGCCATGGCTCTGCCTGGGATATCCTTTGCTTCTCATCACAGAACATGAAAGGATCCTGCAATGCAGGGCAGGAATGTTGGAAATGAGGAAATGAAAAGGCAGCGTAGATGGAAGCAAAATGTGAATCGCTGCCACTATGTGGGATATTTTCCTTTGAAGATGAGTCTGATGAAAAATTACCGCCCTTATGCAGGACTGTGGGCCTGGGGCAATGCAAGAGCTGTATAAAAGCAGGCTCTTCTCCCCACTCTCACATTCACTCCACTCACCTCCATCTCCTTGGAACAAGGTGAGTTTGAAGCTCATTCTCCTTTTTTGCGTTCTTCTCTAGGATTTCTCTGCACATACCTGTGACTTTGTCCCACGTGAGATCTTGCAGATGCTTTTTGTGAGAGAAGTAAATGAGTGGGAAGTGTGTGACTGCTGGGTCTTGGCAGAAGTAATGCCCCAGATTTGGGCTGGTTGGGGACGACCCTGGGCTTGAGATCTTTGTGGGGTTTGTATGAGGGGAAGAGCCCCTGTGCCTCCAGAAACAGCCTTCAGCTCTCATTCCCAGCTCATGCCTTGGCTCCCTCATGCTGAGGTCACAGTTGGATCCTTACCCAGCCCTTGTGATTTACTCCCCTCTGCTCTGTGTGCCAGGTGCTCCTGCAGCCCCAAGCCATGTCCTGCTACAGCCCGTGCCGGCCCTGCCAGCCCTGCGGCCCCACCCCGCTGGCCAACAGCTGCAATGAGCCCTGTGTCAGGCAGTGCCAGGACTCCACCGTGTTCATCCAGCCCTCGCCCGTGGTGGTGACCCTGCCCGGCCCCATCCTCAGCTCCTTCCCACAGAACACCGCCGTGGGATCCTCCACCTCGGCTGCTGTTGGCAGCATCCTCAGCTCTCAGGGAGTGCCCATCAGCTCTGGGGGCTTTGGCCTCTCTGGCTTGGGCAGTGGCCACTGTGGCACAAGGCGCTTCCCCTGCTGAAGCTGCTCCCTCCACTGTTGCCTCCATCTGGATCCCCCTCTTTTTCTCCTTTTGACTCAATAAATTGTGCTGCATCCCAGCCTGTGCCTTTGTGTCTTCCTTTGCCCTGCAGACACTGTCCCAGGGCAGAGATGTTGCCCCAGGGGTGTTTCTGGGAGGGGGTTGTTGGGGCTGGTTTTGCCCTGGCTGTCAGCACAGGCTGGCATTGGGATGCTCAGTGTGCACTGAGTGACTCTCTGGGTTCTGAGTTTCTCTGCCTCCTTGGGTCAGGACAGAATTTCCCTACATTGTCCAGGGACAAACATGCTCTCTGCACTTCTATTCCTTTTCCTTTCTCAGCTCAACAGCGTGACACAAGTACTCAGGAGAGAATGTTTTACTGACCAAACAGAGCTACTGGATTGCCATCATACTCCAGCAGATCCCATGGATCTGAAAGATTTCTGTAAGGGAGGGACATTGTGCCACCTTCTCACAGACCCCAGTTATCATGGGAGCACAGAATGGGTTTGGTTGGAAGAGATTTTTAAAGGTATTTCGTCCAACCCTCCAGCCATGGACAGTATCTCAGCTCCAGCTCACATATTCCTGCTTAAAACAATTGCCCCTTGTCCAGTCACTTGATATAATGTCTCTCTCCAGTTTTCTTACACCACCCCTTGATGAACTGAAAGGCTGCAATAAGGTCCTCCAGATCCTTCTCTTCTCCTGAATGAAAACCTCCAGAGCAGGGGTGAAGCATCCATGTGACCATTCCCTGGAGGGCAGCTCTCCTTCCATGCAGCCCCCAGTCCCTATTGATTTCTGAGATTGCCCCAAGGTAGTGTCAGAGTATTGCACTTGGCTTTATTGAAATTCCTGAGTTCTACATGGAAGCTTTCCTCAAGTCTGTCAGGATCCCTGTGGGATTTAAACCCTCCCATCTGGCGTAGCTCTTGCTCCCCTCAGCTTCACGTCATTGCTGAGGGTCACAAATCAATGAGGTTGGAAAAGACCTCCAGGATCATCACCTTGACAAGATGCCCCTATGGCCCCTTAAGCACATCACAAAGCGCCACGAGGGTGCCCCAATCCCACTGTCCATGTCACTGATGCTCCCAGACACTGAGGGCTGTCAGCAGCACCCTGGGCTGTGCGAGCAGGAGTGGAGCCAGGAGATGTGGATGCTGCTCTGCTCAGCCCTCATCTGCTGCCATCCCCCGTGTGGGAAATGAATTTGTAGGGAATTCTCAAAGGCTGACAGAAGGCCCACATTGCATGCACCTGTTGACAGACGTGGTTGAGAGAGAAATGGAACTAGAAACGAGTTTCAAAGTTTGGCTTTGCAAATAGAACAAATTACTTTATAGAAATAGAACTATGAAAGATACATAGCATTAGGATGCACAAGGGGTAATTTTAGATGATTGGCTTTAAGGCATTTACAGCATGGGATGGATAAGCTGATAGGCCAAGATACACTAATAATGAATTCTAATTAGGAAATAGTTGCTTTCTAAATCTAATAGCATGAATGATAACATCTGTATTTTCTCACCCTTCGTATGAGACTGAACATAGAATAAAAGTTTTTAAAATGCCTCTAAGTATTCCCATCTCCAGGTCAGAAAAAAGCATAACCTGCACCCTGTATTGGGCACAGGCTGTAATGCAAGAACCACCAGGACAAAGCAGGCTGAGTTTAGTGCAGGGTGGCCGGGATGGGAAGGAGATCAGAGCACTTGACTCAGGCACAGGGATTGATGGGTATGGAGAGGAGAATGGTTTGGTCAGGGAGAGAAAATCATCCTTGGAGTAGACAGGGCCAATGAAGAGGTTTGGTTCATTCTGTTCACCGATCTCTTAAGGGATAATGACTCAAAACATTCCCCCATTTGTGGAGACCAGGGTGCTTTGGTGAACTGGGGCAGGTGAGCTCTGGCTGTGTAATGGCCAACCTCAGATCTAGTCCGACAGAGGGTGAATGATGGGCTTTGAATGAGGCAGGAGGTGGGTGCTGGTGCCTCTTGTCACTTGGAGCTGCCCTCCCTGGCACAGACCACTGGGTTGTGGGGGCCCCTCTGTTCCCCAGGGGAAGCACCAGGACATTCATGTGTGGCCTGACAGTGTTCATCTCTGCTGATGGGCCACATTGGGCCAAAACCAAAGCAACTGTGCTGGCTGTGATGGGCAGCTGTGTTGTCTTAGAAGGTGTCAAGGGCTCCTGAATGGTCCCATGTTCCATGACATTACATGATCCAGTGTGAAGCTCCCCCCTCCAAGGGAGGATCCTGAGCATCTCCACTGGAAACTGAGTGAAAATAAACCAAATAGATTTTATGTTCTGTGGATTAGCCCTGGCATTTTCTCCTACCACTTTTTTGAGACTTCCCCCACCACCTGACAGGTCCAGTCTGTGATCACTTTGACCAAGACTGCACAGCAACCAAGTCTCATCAAAGGGCGTATGGCAGGAGAGATCTTCACAATCTTGCCCCTTATCCCTCTTCCTTCATTTTGCCTTGTGCATGTCCCTGGGTGATGTGGTTGCATTTTCATCTTGCCATGCTTTCATGTTGTTGTATTGCTTTGGAAAATAAGAGCCAAAATGGCTACGGATGTGATTTCCTGTCCAATCACATTGTTCTGCAATTATCCCTCAGTGTGTAATTACAGACACTGATCATTCAGTGCTGGTTGTCCCTAATCAATCTCAAGGGCTGTATTAACAAGAACCTGGCTTACCCCTCACCTTCTGCAGTGGGTCGTAGCACAGACACATGGAGAAGGGTAGAAAGCAGCAATGCCATAATAAAGCACATTCAAGTCTCTCATCTTAAAAGGCACTCAAACACCTTCTCCTACATCTGTCTCACAGAACCATCCCTGAACAACACCTCCCTCCCTGGGGAACCTTGGGAGACCAACAAGGGAGGAAAGGATGACACAGATGCATGGGCTGGGATGCAACAGAAATTTAATGAGTCAAACGATGAGAACAAGGCCACTCTGAGTGGAGGCCTCAGTGCAGAGAGCAGCAGGGTCAGCTCAGAATCTCCATGACACAGCTGTGGCAGGGATCCCAGCAGGTGTCCATCTGCCTGATCCAGAGAGGGAGCAGGGCCAGCAGGTGCTCCCCAGGATGGCTGTGTGGGGATCACAGCCCCAGGGAGCACAAAGGAACAAGGACACAGGAGGGAAAGGAGAGAGTGGCAGGGGACAGAGGCAGGGATGGGCTGTGCTTGCCAAGAGCCCAGGCTGGCCCTGTCCTTCTGCAAGGGCTGCTGGGGTTGCTCAGCCCCTCAGGAAGCAAGAAGCCGAAGCTGCGTGCCCAGGGCGGTTCCATCCTGGGAGTCCCTGGGTTCCTTCCCCAGGGCCAGCGGCAGCAGCTTCAGCAGGGGAGGCACCTGGTGCCACAGAGGCCACTGCCCAAGCCAGAGAGGCCAAAGCCCCCAGAGCTGATGGGCACTCCCTCAGAGCTGAGGATGCTGCCAACAGCAGCAGAGGTGGAGGATCCCACCACGGTGTTCTGTGGGAAGGAGCTGAGGATGGGGCCAGGCAGGGTCACCAGCACGGGCGAGGGTTCGATGATGACGGTGGAGTCCTGGCACTGCCTGACACAGGGCTCATTGCAGCTGTTGGCCAGCGGGGTGGGGCCGCAGGGCTGGCAGGGCCGGCACGGGCTGTAGCAGGACATGGCTTGGGGCTGCAGGTGCACCTGGGAGACATGGAATGGGGAGGCAGAGTTGAGAAAGGGCTTTGTCAGAGTGTTGACACACCATGATGGAGAATAGCAAAGAGAAGACAGCACGAGGCTGCTTAAAGAAGCCAAACAGCCTCAACTGTTTGGTCAAGCCCCCAAGAATCTCCTGAAGAGTTATCAAGCCCAGTGACTTGCACACCTGGGCCAGAACTCATGAGACATCTCAGAAAAAACCCAGCCTCTCTCCATGCACAGCTTTGGCCATTTCCCTCTCCCATAACCAGCAGTGCTCAAGTACCCACATGGGATTAAAGCAGAGAATGTGATCAGAAAGCCCAAAGGAGGAAGAATAAAAGAAAGGGCTTCAGACTCACCTTGATCCCAAGGAGGTGGAGGTGAGAAGAGTGAATGAGAAAACAAGGAGAAGGTCCCCCTTTTATACTGCTCTGGCACTGCCCCAGGCCCACAGGCACTGCACGAGGACAGTAATTTTCCAACACATTCACCTCCAAAGCAAAATATCCACCCTAACGCCACACGTTGTGGTTTGATTTCCATCAACACTGCCATTTCATTTCCTCATTTCTGACGTGCTTGCTCTGTGTTGCAGCTCCTTTCACGTGTGCCACCCGAGGCCTGAGGACACCTGGGACCAGAGCGTGTCCGTGCAGGCACAGGATGTGCCCCCATGCCGCAGGGTCCCGAGCAGGCAGGGGATGTTGGCTCGGGGCAGTGCCTTGCCATTGCTGGCAGCTGCCTCTGCAGGGACAGCCCCAGCTCTGCCCTGCCCCAAGGAGCAGCAGAGCACCCAAAGGCTCCTCTCCTCACAGCACGTCCTGCCTGCTGCCCTCTCCTTCTCTCACCTCACTCCAGCACCCACTGGACACTGCTTCTCCAGGGAAATGCTTTCCTCTCCCTTCCTCTTGATGCAGATTGTTTGGCAGGCTGAGCATTCCAGGGCTGGGCTTGGAGAGCCAAAGCCCACCTGGAGCTGAATCAGGAAAGCTTGTGGTGGGAAAGAAGAAGATCTTCCACACCGGGCAAGAGTAAAAGGGAGGCTTGAGCCAAGGCTGACTGGGGCAGCTTCACTGGGGGCAGGGGTTACAGGAAAGGGGAAGGTTCTTCAAGGCTTCTGGGTCTTGGTCTTTAGTGGCAACTTTTCATGTCACAGGATCAACCTCCTGATACTCCTCAGAAACAGGGGTAGGGAAAACTCCCCCACGCCAGAGAAGGAGGATCAGCTGTGAGAACATTTAAACAGACTGGAACAATTGAAGTGTGTGACCTGGTGATGGGCACATGAGTGATGGTGTCAAAGAAGGCACCTCTGAGCTCCCTTTGGGAAGTCCTCAGCAGTCAGTGCATGCAGCTGAGGACAGAAAGAGATGGTCAGGGAGGATTCAAGTAGCAATGTACAGACTCTGGACTTCAAATATGCCAACACTTCCACCCACTCAGGTATCTAGCAGGTCTGATGTGCCTTCACAGGCACCTGTGAAGACCAAAACAGATAAGAAAAGCTGGCAGCATCTTAGGGGCATCTCGTGGTTCCAAAAACCATGAAAAGTCAAGGCAAAACACAGGAAAACAAGAGATGCTGATGGAGGGACAGGATGGACACAGGGACTCATCTTCCTGGTGAAAGACACCTGGCTGTGGAAGGGAGCTCACCTGGAGGCTCAGGAGCTGAAAGAAGGGGTTCTAGAAAACACTGCCCCACTGCTTTGGACACATCCTAGGGTCCAAAGCTCTATGGCTTCTGCCATAGAGACTGGGCACTGGGGCTAAGGCCCACCCCTTTCCAATGCTCCAAATGCCTCCTCAGCCTAGAGAACAACTCAGAACCATTGCAGAGGGAAGGAAACATCCTGCATTTCCCCAGCGAGTGAGAGCTTTGGGGAAACAGCAGTGCCATGCACTTGGGGATGTGCAAGGAGGGGATACACTCAGAAAAGCCCTGGGTACAAAACCAGCTCTCAAAATACGCCAAGGACTGATGCACTTCCCTGCCCTGCAGACATGGAGGCAGCTGAGGTGTGTCCCAGGAGGGCAAGGGAATGCCTTCAGTAGGCAAATCTCCAGGGAGAGACTCTCCTTACCAGTGGCAAGTCAGGCTCTAATTTTGGGTTGGCCATGTGTCAGCCTTTTGGTGTGAGGCCAAGCCAGGAGGGTGTGATGTCTGCAGGCCTGGCCAAGGCAGGACTGAGTCCCCCTCCAGCAAGGGCAGCTCCATCCTGGCCCTGGGAAAAGGGATGCTTGGCAGCTCTTTCACAGGTCACCTGTGTTCTCAGTACTGACAGCATGTATTGGAAAAATGGCCTGTGCTCGTTTGTCATCCAGGTCAGGCTCCACATTGTGCAGCCAAAGGGCATCGTGGGTGAGGAGAGAGGGAGGAACAGAGAACGGTCCAGACACCCAACACCTCCCGTCCCCCAGATACTGAGGAGCAGCCCAATGGTATAGGGCTCTCTTTGAGACTTGATTCATGCCCATGATCAGAGAATTAATGAATCACAGAATCAGAAGAATTTTAGGACCTCCAAGATCATTGACTCCAGCCATTACTCATGTGTTTCTGTAGGAAAAATAATTTGGATTCTCATCCCTTAACATGAAAGGGATCTTCATGACCTAGTGGGGATGTCAGAAACGTGGAAATTAAATTACAGCATTTACGGAAACCAAAACATACCCTGTGGCATTAGGGAGGATATTTTTCTTTGTAGATGAGTCTGTAGGAAAATTGTTGCCCTGTGCAGCTACTGTAAGCCTAGGGTGGTGCAGGAGCAGTATAAAAGCGAATCATTCTCCTCACTCTCTCATCTAGTCTTCCCATCTCCAGCTCCTTGGAAATAAGGTGAGTTTGGAGCATTTCTCCTCCTGCTTGTCCTCGTCTGAATACATTTCTAAGCCCATAACATGTCTTCAGATGGGGACTAGTGCTTCCTGCCATGGGTGAGGGAAAGGGGCAGCAGGTGTGGCATAGAAAGACACTGGGGCTTGACTATGTCCTGAATCATTGGCGAGGTGCAGATCTCTATTTGCCATGTTTTGGGGAGTTGAGACAAACAGGGTCATCCTCAGACTGGGGTGACAGGCTGACCCTCACCCACTCCATGTGTTCTGCTTTCCCCTGCCCTGTCTCCCAGGTGCTCCTGCAGCCCCAAGCCATGTCCTGCTACAGCCCGTGCCGGCCCTGCCAGCCCTGCGGCCCCACCCCGCTGGCCAACAGCTGCAATGAGCCCTGTGTCAGGCAGTGCCAGGACTCCACCGTCATCATCGAACCCTCGCCCGTGGTGGTGACCCTGCCCGGCCCCATCCTCAGCTCCTTCCCTCAGAACACCGTGGTGGGATCCTCCACCTCGGCTGCTGTTGGCAGCATCCTGAGCTCTCAGGGAGTGCCCATCAGCTCTGGGGGCTTTGGCCTCTCTGGCTTGGGCAGTGGCCTCTGTGGCACGAGGCGCTTCCCCTGCTGAAGCTGCTGCCGCTGGCCCTGGGGAAGGAACCCAGGGACTCCCAGGATGGAACCGCCCTGGGCACGCAGCATCGGCTTCTTGCTTCCCGAGGGGCTGAGCAACCCCAGCAGCCCTTGCAGAAGGACAGGGCCAGCCTGGGCTCTTGGCAAGCACAGCCCATCCCTGCCTCTGTCCCCTGCCACTCTCTCCTTTCCCTCCTGTGTCCTTGTTCCTTTGTGCTCCCTGGGGCTGTGATCCCCACACAGCCATCCTGGGGAGCACCTGCTGGCCCTGCTCCCTCTCTGGATCAGGCAGATGGACACCTGCTGGGATCCCTGCCACAACTGTGTGATGGAGATTCTGAGCTGACCCTGCTGCTCTCTGCACTGAGGCCTCCACTCAGAGTGGCCTTGTTCTCATCGTTTGACTCATTAAATTTCTGTTGCATCCCAGCCCATGCATCTGTGTCATCCTTTCCTCGCTTGTTGGTCTCCCAAGGTTCCCCCGGGAGGGAGATGTGTCTCAGGGATGGTTCTGTGAGACAGATGTAGGAAAACGTGTTTGAGTGCCTTTTAAGATGAGAGACTTGAATGTGCTTTATTATGGCATTGCTGCTTTCTACCCTTCTCCATGTGTCTGTGCTACGACCCACTGCAGAAGGTGAGGGGTAACCCAGGTTCTTGTTAATACAGCCCTTGAGATTGGTTAGGGAGAACCAGCACTGAATGATCAGTGTCTGTAATTACACACTGAGGGATAATTGCAGAACAATGTGATTGGACAGGAAAACACATCTGTAGCCATTTTGGCTCTTATTTTCCAAAGCGATACAACAACATGAAAGCATGGCAAGATGAAATAGCAACCACATCACCCAGGGACATGCACAAGGCAAAATGAAGGAAGAGGGATAAGGGGCAAGATTGTGAAGATCTCTCCTGCCATACGCCCTTTGATGAGACTTGGTTGCTGTGCAGTCTTGGTCAAAGTGATCACAGACTGGACCTGTCAGGTGGTGGGGGAAGTCTCAAAAAAGTGGTAGGAGAAAATGCCAGGGCTAATCCACAGAACATAAAATCTATTTGGTTTATTTTCACTCAGTTTCCAGTGGAGATGCTCAGGATCCTCCCTTGGAGGGGGCAGCTTCACACTGGATCATGTAATGTCGTGGAACATGGGACCATTCAGGAGCCCTTGACCCCTTCTAAGACAACACAGGTGCCCATCACAGCCAGCACAGTTGCTTTGGTTTTGGCCCAATGTGGCCCATCAGCAGAGATGAACACTGTCAGGCCACACATGAATGTCCTGGTGCTTCCCCTGGGGAACAGAGGGGCCCCCACAACCCAGTGGTCTGTGCAAGGGAGGGCAGCTCCGAGTGACAAGAGGCACCAGCACCCACCTCCTGCCTCATTGAAAGCCCATCATTCACCCTCTGTCAGACTAGATCTGAGGTTGGCCATTACACAGCCAGAGCTCACCTGCCCCAGTTCACCAAAGCACCCCGGTCTCCACAAATGGGGGAATGTTTTGAGTCATTATCCCTTAAGAGATCGGTGAACAGAATGAACCAAACCTCTTCATTGGCCCTGTCTACTCCAAGGATGATTTTCTCTCCCTGACCAAACCATTCTCCTCTCCATACCCATCCATCCCTGTGCCTGAGTCAAGTGCTCTGATCTCCTTCCCATCCCGGCCACCCTGCACTAAACTCAGTCTGCTTTGTCCTGGTGGTTCTTGCATTACAGCCTGTGCCCAATACAGGGTGCAGGTTATGCTTTTTTCTGACCTGGAGATGGGAATACTTAGAGGCATTTTAAAAACTTTTATTCTATGTTCAATCTCATAAGAAGGGTGAGAAAATACAGATGTTATCATTCATGCTATTAGATTTAGAAAGCAACTATTTCCTAATTAGAATTCATTATTAGTGTATCTTGGCCTATCAGCTTATCCATCCCATGCTGTAAATGCCTTAAAGCCAATCATCTAAAATTACCCCTTGTGCATCCTAATGCTATGTATCTTTCATAGTTCTATTTCTATAAAGAAATTAATTCTATTTGCAAAGCCAAACTTTGAAACTCGTTTCTAGTTCCATTTCTCTCTCAACCACGTCTGTCAACAGGTGCATGCAATGTGGGCCTTCTGTCAGCCTTTGAGAATTCCCTACAAATTCATTTCCCACACGGGGGTGGCAGCAGATGAGGGCTGAGCAGAGCAGCATCCACATCTCCTGGCTCCACTCCTGCTCGCACAGCCCAGGGTGCTGCTGACAGCCCTCAGTGTCTGGGAGCATCAGTGACATGGACAGTGGGATTGGGGCACCCTCGTGGCGCTTTGTGATGTGCTTAAGGGGCCATAGGGGCATCTTGTCAAGGTGATGATCCTGGAGGTCTTTTCCAACCTCATTGATTTGTGACCCTCAGCAATGACATGAAGCTGAGGGGAGAAAGAGCTATGCCAGATGGGAGGGTTTAAATCCCACAGGGATCCTGACAGACTTGAGGAAAGCTTCCATGTGGAACTCAGGAATTTCAATAAAGCCAAGTGCAAGGCCCTGACACTGCCTTGGGGCAATCTCAGAAATCAATAGGGACTGGGGGCTGCATGGAAGGAGAGCTGCCCTCCAGGGAATGGTCACATGGATGCTTCACCCCTGCTCTGGAGGTTTTCATTCAGGAGAAGAGAAGGATCTGGAGGACCTTATTGCAGCCTTTCAGTTCATCAAGGGGTGGTGTAAGAAAACTGGAGAGAGACATTATATCAAGTGACTGGGCAAGGGGCAAGTGTTTTAAGCAGGAATATGTGAGCTGGAGCGGAGATACTGTCCATGGCTGGAGGGTTGGGCGAAATACCTTAAAAAATCTCTTCCAACCAAACCCATTCTGTGCTCCCATGATAACTGGGGTCTGTGAGAAGGTGGCACAATGCACTCTGTCCCTCCCTTACAGAAATCTTTCAGATCCATGGGATCTGCTGGAGTATGATGGCAATCCAGTAGCTCTGTTTGGTCAGTAACACATTCTCTCCTGAGTACTTGTGTCACGCTGTTGAGCTGAGAAAGGAAAAGGAATAGAAGTGCAGAGAGCATGTTTGTCCCTGGACAATGCAGGGAAATTCTGTCCTGACCCAAAGAGGCAGAGAAACTCAGAACCCAGAGAGTCACTCAGTGCACACTGAGCATCCCAATGCCAGCCTGTGTTGGCAGCCAGGGCAAAACCAGCCCCAACAACCCCCTCCAAGAAACACCCCTGGGGCAACATCTCTGCCCTGGGACAGTGTCTGCAGGGCAAAGGAAGACACAAAGGCACAGGCTGGGATGCAGCACAATTTATTGAGTCAAAAGGAGGAAAAGAGGGGGATCCAGATGGAGGCAACAGTGCAGGGAGCAGCTTCAGCAGGGGAGGCACCTCGTGCCACAGAGGCCACTGCCCAAGCCAGAGAGGCCAAAGCCCCCAGAGCTGATGGGCACTCCCTGAGAGCTGAGGATGCTGCCAACAGCAGCAGAGGTGGAGGATCCCACGGCGGTGTTCTGTGGGAAGGAGCTGAGGATGGGGCCGGGCAGGGTCACCACCACGGGCGAGGGCTGGATGAACACGGTGGAGTCCTGGCACTGCCTGACACAGGGCTCATTGCAGCTGTTGGCCAGCGGGGTGGGGCCGCAGGGCTGGCAGGGC